AGGTCAATTAACCCTTAGCCAAAGAACAAACAGAAGACTATAGCTGGCTATAGATATATTGAAATTCGATTGGTTCAGCAGGGACCGGCTAAACTTTGATCCATCTAAGGTCATTCTTGTTCCAAAAGAAGTCGATCTAATGACAGACATCTCTTGAACTGGCTTGTTGGAAAATGGTCTCTCATTCAGCACTGCAACCAAATGGCTGCAGCACAGATCAGGAGTCCCTACTGTGAAAATACAATGCAGCAGGGAGGATTCCTCCATGTGGATGGGGAATCTGTTCAGTTTTTTCGATCAGCCCACTGATCCATTTAATGCCAGCCTAAGAACATAACAAAAGGTGTCCTGCCTATGAACGCTTCAACAATTTCCCTTATTTAGTGACAGAAATCAATTCATCCTTCTCTAAGCATAAAAATAACAAAAAAAAAAACCACAAAGGAAAAATCTAAAATAAATTGACTTCCCAGGGTTGGACATAGCTTGGTGTTGATGCCTATAGTAGTGGTTACAATTAAAAGCTGTTTTGTGTAGTGTTGCAGTCCACTATGTGTGCAAATATAATCAGAGTGAGTTTTAGTATCACAGAAAATGTATAAGTAAATATGCTGCCTCCATATCTTTATTCCCTTCTTGCTTTGAATCGAGTGCACAAGAAGGTACGGTTTTGCTATGTTTTGTTATACGTTTTTGTTTTCTTTCTATCTGTATATAATGTGAGCCAGGGTATGCCCAATTGGCTCTGTTTAGTACTTCTGTATATGATAAAAATCAATAAAAAAAGGTTGGAAAAAAGTACAAATATTAACTGTAAAATTAACTTTATCTGATCACAAAAATAAATAAATGACTGCTTTAATTAATTAGCACCCCGTTATCAACATATTATAATATTAACCCTTTAGCCATGATATAAAGCAATAAAAAAATGACAGTGATCTCTCTAAGGAAGAAAAAAAACAGATTTTTAAGACTAACTCGCCATCATGACAATGTATTTCACTTCCTAAACTGTGGACTGAAGTGCAGTCTGCCTGCAGAAACCGAAAACTATTGTTACAGTGGCTTCAGCAGCCCCATTATCTGATTGCTTTCCAGTAGTCATACTGGCAAGTGTACAATCCTGTGATGTAATAAAGCACTCTGTAACTGTGTTTGTTCCTCACTGTACTTTGAACTGACGATGTCTTTATCAATAAAGGGTTTACCTCATAAACCGCTCTTCCGTGAGAATGAAATGACATGCTGTAACCATAGAAATATTTCAGAGCAGAGGGAGAAAACGCGTCCAAGAACAGATTAGGCAAGCTGCTGAACAGCTGTGAAAAATATATGACAAAACTATGTGGTATTACAAATTAGGCACTAAAAATACTTTGTTATGATTTTCATCAGATTCAAATTATATCTGATTATTTGCAGTGTTATTCTATCTGGGAGGCTGCTAGCCAAAATACTGGAGTTAAAAATTAAGCTACAGGGAAAAAGACATATAATCATCTAAAGAGACGGCGTGACGGCCTAACCCAGGGTTCTCCACAAACAAGCATTTATTACCATAAGTGCAAGCTATCAGTCTACTGACTAGACCCACATAAATAGTTATAATGGCTATAGACGTCTATTCAACACTGCCTGTTGTGGTCAGATTGTCTCCAATATTGCTGGACTTTAACGATTAATAAAGGAAATTATATTATTTTTATATGCATGTTCAGCTCAATGTAAACAACCTTACTGAGGTATGTAATGTTAAAGAAAAAATACTTCTTTCTATTTATAGTTTAGTTGTATGTTTTACATATATGCATACATGCTGTGTTTTCTGATTTTGCTTTTCACAAGACATTGTACTCTTAATTGGCTTATGCTGTATTCACTTTCTTGAAGCGGTCATTCAGCAAGGATGCTCTCTGTACTATATGACATGCAAACCTGTTTTTTTTAGAGAGAGAACTTGCAAATTTTTTGAAAATAAGTCCCAGCAAGCACATAAAAATATAAAAGCAAAAGAAAACAATGGCTTTCAGGTGAATTTTACATTACACTATCTAAAGTCATTTCTTTTTTAAGATCTGGGTATAATAGGAGGGGGTTAGAACCTCTCTGGCTTTTATTGTTGTCTGTGCCTTACCCTGAGAGATTCGCCCTCTCTAAATACCCTGGTGATCATTGCTACTGAGACTAGAGTGAGTGAAAGACTAGAGCTGGACATAGGCGTTCAGGGACTAGCCGAATATCAATCCATGTGTGGCTGCTCCTGCTTTACAAAGGTTTTTTAACGATTGATTTCTGTGAATTGGGCTTGTTGGGATTTTTATTTTCAATCCAAGGCTGCAGCCACTGATCAGTGTATTCTGACAGCAGAAAGAATACATAGACATAGCAAGGAGGATTTCCCTATCCACCCAACTGTGTGGATGGAGGAATCCATTGGCCATAGATGGATGTCTTTTATTTTCCATTCAGTGCAGCGGGGAGTAACTCTTCACTACACCATCCAAAAGTGCTTTAGACATACTTTAACTTGGGCTACAAATCCTCAACAGATCCTCAAAGACAAAATATCTTTCAAATATGTAAAATATTATGTAATGACAAGCATCCTGTTTGATTACTTTTTTTAGACTAAGCTTACTATGTGTAACTGAAACTTTTAAGTGTAGCTGCTTGTGGCATAGTGGCATGGCACGACCCCTGCTACAAGGCATAAGATACTATTCCCCCAGTTAGGAACACTGACGTAATTCACAACGGTATCATTTCAAGCTTTTATGAAAAGAAGCAAAGCATCCATTTCTGTGTTCTCAAAATATGAGGATTTAAGCAAAATATATATTGTGAAATAAAAACAGGAGTGGTTACATGGTTTGTTTTCATTCAAAACTCCACATCTAGGCTTGGTCAATAAATTTTAGTGGGTCGTCCTAACAGGGGAATCAGTTGCCAAAACAAGGGCAATAAAAAGAAAATCTCTCAGTGTAAAAGCAATTCTCATGTTTGTGTTTTGGCAGACACTTCTGTGGAAAGTATAACATAAGCGATGAATAATATACGTTGAAGAGGAGATAAACATGTTCAAATAATTCCAACCAAATGCATATGAAGTGTTGTATGTGTAGACATTAGATAAACAGCCAAGGTCAATAAAAACTGCAGATTCTTTTCTGAATTCTGACTTGGCTTTGTGAACCCATCTCCTGCGTAGAGGTGTGCTTGGAACATGTTGGCTGAGAGCTTACAGAAAACTGGTCATGAGAGAAATATGGCGACTGCCATTGATGATTTCATTTAAAAAATGCTGGTTCCCTAGATAAACTTCTAGTTTCAAAACATTCTGAATCAGTGACCATGAACAAATAGGCAGATCAGTGTTGTGGCTTCCCTCTGAATTCAGTGGAAGTATGCGTATTCCTAGTCAGTGGCTTGGAGGACGTAAAAATATTGCATTTTCAGAAGAAGGTTAGCAATGACATCCCTTGGATATCTTCCATGTCATGCTTCAATTTTGCATTGACTGGCTTTTTAAACCACTCCTGCATTCATTTAGTGGAAATGGTTAATGGTGGTACCTGACACTGATATACATCGAAAAGAGGAACAGCATCACACGAGACCTGTAGTGCTACTCCTCGATCGTGTGGATTTTTTTTAGCATCCCCTTATCTCACTAAAGTATCTAAAATTAAAAACAAAACTGTTATATATTGCAGATTACCAGCCCATAGATTTGGTGGCTGTATTTGTTTTCACTTAGGCTAAGAACTTTTTAGCAAATACAGAAAACACCTATTGATCTTGCCAGACATGCAGTGTCCTTGTGACTTCCTGTAAACTGTAAGAACGAACCTTATCTTTTGTGTGTAAACTAGTCCCCTTAATTCGCTATGAAATGAAAATGACCAGGGCAGACATGTTCTGATGTCAGCCTGTGTGACAGAAGTACAGAAAGGAGCACCAGACCAAATTTGGATAAGAGTCCAAAATAATTTTAATTGTTGATTAAAAAAGTCATATTAATACACCTCCTCTACGCAGCTAAGAACAATATAACTAGTCTATGGAAAACCACATAATCCCCTTCTCTAGCAAGAGTAATCGCCAATCTTAATCTTCAATGTGAAAGAAACAGAGTTTCTCTAGCTCTAATCTTTCATACAACAAATTTTACAAAGCCTGGCATATATGGGCACTTCACCCAAAATGCACATTTCAAATATGACGGCATTTACCTTTTTTCTTTGGAGTACAACAAACAATCATATAAAAACAACCTAGCTGACTTAGATAAATGGAATAAGTGAACGCTTTCCCAATAAGCCGCTGTACACTCAAGATAACCAACAAAAATCCTTATACAAATATGAGATAAAACAGTGCAGCGCTAATAAATGTCAGGATAAAATAAATAGAAATTATAACAAAATCAATATAATATACCCAAATGATACAAGTAAATATACTCGGGTAACTATAATAAAATATATAAAAAAGCAAAGTCTGTTGTTTCTTTGGAGTACAACAAACAATCATATAAAAACAACCCAGCTGACTTGACTGGTATGTTTAATTATTTTGAACCCAGAATTGCAATGGTTACTCTCTCTCCCCCCTTCCCCACCCCCTAACTCTCCGCCATTCCATCCTCTCCCCCCCCCCCCCCCCCTCATCCCCAACACCTCTTTGAGTATGCTGTTCTGTGTGACAACCATGGTTCCCTTTAAAAATAAGATAAAGAGTAGACATCAAAGTACAGAAAATAGGTTATTCACAGAATCACAGAAAGTAAATGAAAGAGCACAATGAAAACTAGTATAGCCACTACAATTTATGGACTGGTAAGCTGCAATATATTATATTTGTTTTTTGTATAGGTACACATTAACACCTATTACAGTTGGGTCAGTCTCTCCACACAAGGCCATGTTTTTGGGTGGCTGTGAAGAAAATACAAAAATGCATTAGTGTACAGAGACCCATGAGTTATTCTAATGTACCTAGGGGGACAGCATCTGGATTCACTGGACTCTGTTGTCTGGAATGGCTGGTGCTGCTGCTACCTTTTTTTAAATCCTCGGCATCACTGTACCGCCTGATCCAGTAATTGAGCTCTTCGCGATCTGCTTCCTGACATTTCCGTAGCACAGTGAGGGATCGTCTTGTTTTTTCTATCATATCCATTATGCAGTTTAAAAGCTAAAAGAAAAAATGGGGGGAAAATTACATAAATTCAATGTGTACTTAACACTGCAATAAAGCATTATGCATACAGGCATTTTTTTAGGTATGTTATCTCAACATAGCAACCCTGGTAATCAATCAATTAATCAATCAATCAATCAGGCAAAAAGTTATTTGCTAACGCTATCCAACAAACTTGTTCTATGGCTGGAAAGACCAATAAGTTAATCTCTAATGTTGATATTAATTATCCACTACAACCATAGTTAGCAAGTAATGCACAATGAAGCCTCTCGATTCTGCACGGTACCTCCATTTCTGAGAACGGAGGAGGAGCTCAGAATGATTCAACACTTGGGCTGAATTTTCATATGTTCAAAATGAGTCATCTTTAGTATAAGAATACCAGCAACTACTGCGATATAGCATGTTGATGGGTGTAAAGAAATACTCAAAATTTAAGTGTGAGCTTCCCATTACATAGGTAAAGGGAAGTCTCTTTAAATGAAAATATATGGTATATGATCATCTATGTGTGAATAATATGGTCCAGGTGTTTAAAAAGTAGTTTTTTGTTTATGCTCTATGTACTTAAAGCAGCCACACTCGCTTTTTACATATACTTGCTTTTCTTCTTCTTCATCCGAATTTTATGGCAGACATAACTTACTAGCAGCGCATGCAGGCAGCGCATGCAATGTATGCAAATGAGGATTTTGGACTTAAATGTGTGGCAGGTCTCCAAAGGGAATCATTAATAAAAATGGTGTAAGATCGTACAGCACTTGTATGTTGTTAAAATGGTGAATTGTACTGTGCATCTGCTTTTTGCTGAGCATTAGCGAACATTTCTTGATTCCACTATTCAATTATCTGCCCATTCGTAAATAGGTTCTTACTTTGTATTGTAATTGATTTTCCTGCAATAGTTATTTAGTATTGATGGCCGTAAAATATACCACAGAATTCAAGTAAATATATGTAAATCATGTGCAAAATGACATTACTTTACAACAATGATCCACAATAACCACTACGGCAAATCTATGACAACCTACTTTTAAGGGTTTCAAACCCAACTGCCCTTGAGTACATGCCCCAATTGTTCCTTAGACTAAATGTGTAGTTAGAATCTTCCACTATGACCAATGTATATTACAGTCCTGCCTTTTTTTCCTCTCAGCATAAAAGTATAATGACTCAAAAAGACACAAGATCTGTCTGTGAACATGCAACATTCATTAAGCCGAGCTTTCAAACACTAGGAAAGTACTTTCATCTGCCATCTGTGATGATGGTAGAGTTATTCGTTTTAAATATATTATGACTTAGTAATTCTGCTTCCTTGAAATTTGCATAGGGCTGCTGCAAACAGGGACTGGAATGTGTGTCATTATTTAGCTCCCGACAACAGTGCGTGAAGACAATGTACAACGTATAAAGATGATATACTGTAAATTAGTTAGGCAACTGAAGCGTGGCAAAGGGAGAATAATCAATTCAGGCAGCTACTTTGGAAAGCGCTGAGAAATTGTCTGAACTGAGCAATACTGTTTAGAGAAAGCCTTGCTATAAATCTGTTTTCTCTTCTCTGTTGCAAAAAGTCGGATACTAGACAAGTATATATACACAATTTACGCAGCGCTTTACATATATATATATATATATATACATATATACACACACATACACATAAACACTCACCGGCAACTTTAATAGGTACACCTTGCTAGTGGCAAGAAAATCTCTCCCACACCATTACACCACCACCACCAGCCTGAACCATTGATACAAAACAGGATGTGTCCATGCTTTTATGTTGTTTATGCCAAATTCTGACCCTACCACCTGAATGTCACAGCACCCAGTCTTTCCATCCTCCTCCTTTCCTCCTCTGACTTCAACAAGGCATTATCATCCACACAACTGCTGCTTGCTGGATATTTTATCTTTTTTGGATCATTCTCTGTAAATCCTAGAGATTTTTGTGTGCGAAAATCCCAGTAGATCAGCAGTGTTTGAAATTCTGAGACCAGCTTATCTGGCAGCAACAACCATTCCACGTTCAAAGTCACTTAAATTCCTTCTCTCCCCCATTCTGATGTTTTTTTGAACTTCAGCAAGTCATCTTCACCATGTCTAGATGCCTAAATGCATTGAGTTGCTGCCATGTGATTGGCTGTTTAGCAGTTTGTGTTACCAAGTAATTGAAAAGGTGTACCTAATAAAGTCGCCGGTGAGACTGTGTGTGTATATATATATATATATATGTATATATTGTACATTCACATCAGTCCCTGTCCTCAAGAAGCTCACAATCTAAGGGTCCCTAGCTCACATTCATACATACACATACTAGGGTTAATTTAGACAGGATCGAATTAACCTACCAGCATGTCTTTGGAGTTTGGGAGGAGACCAGAATACCCGGAGGAAACCTATGCAGGTACAGGGAGAATATGCAAATTTTAGGCAAGTAGTGTCGTGGTTGAGATTTACCCCAATGACCCTCGTGCTGCAGAAGTGCTAACCACTTTGCCATTGTGCATAGACACACATACTGTATATGGGCAAACATATATGCATCTGCCTATTAAAGATTCTATCCAGTTATAATGCTAATTAACATTTCCGATATGACTTGATATGATGAAAGTTTTTTCCTTTTAATCTACAAAGTGCACAACAACTCCCTTCAACTGCTTCAGGTCCAGAAGCACATATAAAGGCCGAATACATAGAGAAAACTAGCGTCAAAGGCCTCTGGTACATGACTGATACTTAACATGCTGATGGTAAACTGTAACTAAGAAAACATTTATCTAAATCTCTACTGATATAGAGCAGCTTTTATCCAGAAAGACCATGATTATAAAGACATGAAACAAACTCATGGCAAGGGAAGAGGGTAATGTTTCGGCCTGACATGGGACTCCTAAATATGTGAAATACTGAACAAAAACAATCAGACCAGTAGTAAAATCCAAGTGAGAAAGTTTATTAACCCCCCTGGCAGTATTCCCGAGTGTAGCTCGGGGTTAACTTTCAGTACCAAAAGCGGTAACCCCGAGCTACACTCGGGATTACTCTACAGCATTGCTCAGGGATTCTCTCCAGCACTTACCTTGTCCTGCGCTCCCGCGATGTCCACCCTGCCGCGTCCCCGGCCATCTTCTCCAGCCAATGCAGGCATCCATCTTCCGAGTTCCATTCCCTGCGAGGGTCGGGACATACGGGACATACGGGGGACAGAACCGGTGGGAAATTAAAAATTTTTAAAAGTGACTTTCACTCAATACACTAAAATCTCATAGTAAAACATTACTGTATCAAAGCATTTCACATACATCTTGTCCCTAGTGCTTTTTCCTGTCCCCTGCCTACATTTTTACTGTTCTTTCTGCCTGGAAACTGAGAAACGTCCATGGCGTCCAAAAAGCGTCCCTTTAGGTCAAAAGCGGCTTTAGACCAGCTAGAGAACAGCGATAGTAAATCAGAATCACTTGCAGAATTGAGTGATAATGATTAGTGGGGAAATTCATCATCAGACACTGAAAACGATTTTGCGACTGAGCTCAGTGATGTGCGAACTTGGCGCTATATTTCAAATTTCAGTGTTTTTTGTTTGATTACATTATTGAATTAAATGTATTATTATATTATTATTTTTTATGATTATTTATTATATTATAATTTATAATTTCGTGTTTTAAATTTTATCATACTCGGGATGTTTACTAGACTCTTGTTCGGACAGATTTCAGTGAGTTATTCCTAAGAATTACAGGCCTACAATAAAAAAACAACATATTTCCATGCAAAAAAATGTACTGCTTTGAGCACAGAAATACTGACATAATCAGACCAATAGGGAGATTAATAAAAGTCCTCTAACAAACCAACATGTTTCGGGGTCTATAGGAGACCCCCTTCATCAGGGCTATAAAACATGGGAATGCATACAAAATGAAATTATAACAAGCAACAATTGCATTATCTGTATTTTAAGTGAGGTTTCTCGATTTGTTAACTTTAACTGGTCTGGCCTTTGCTTTGTATTTTTGTATATATAAAATGCCATCTAATTGACTTTTGGTTCAAGAGCTGCCTTTCTAAAAAATCATTCTACGTTGGGATGTGGAGCCCTAAGGCCTCATAGATGAAGCCTGGGCATTTTGGATCTAGTGCTATTAAACCCACAAATGCTCTTTTGAATATAGTCTGTGTTGGGACAAAAGTTGGACCTTCTGCTTTTATTGATCATGACTGTTGTCTCTCTATGTGCCAACATAATGATCAGTTTAATTAGAAACAATTTAACTCCAATTCAATTAGTTGCCTTGTTTTATGTTTGCTTTAACATGTAAAAAGACTTAAGCAAGCCATAGATGATGCAAAGAAAATTGGTTGATTTTCCCATCTACACAATGTGTGTTGATGGAGGAATCCCTCTCGCATCGCTATTGTGCTCTGTCAGCAGGGAGCCTTTCCTGACAGCAAAACACAATGATCACTGCTGGCGGCTACAGCCAGCAGCAGTAATTGCATACAAAAAAACCTGACAGTCTCAATCAATGGATTGATTTCAGCACAATGATCCTGCCCATATATGGAATGAATCTCGGCTGGTTCTGCAGGGACCAGCTGAGATTCGATCCACCTATGGTCAGCTTACCAGTAACAAGCTAAAACATTTTCTCATGTTTTACATTTATATTTGCTTATATGTATTGCTGTTGAACCTATCACTTAAATTTTGTAAATTTATATTTGGGTTTGGAAGAATTGTTTAATAATGAATCATATTAATTTTTGAATGCTAATGCTGCTTTGGAAAATATAGCACAAATAGGCAGCAGAATTTGTAAAGCTTTAGCTGATAAAGTAGTTCTTCATGAGACACACTGCAAGACTTTTTTTTCATATCTAGAAAAATGTATATCATATTTATAAACCTATGCTAAGTGCAATAGGTGAAAATCACCCTCTGATACACCAACACTCTCAATGGAGACTTTAAAGATGGAAAACATTACATTATAAAATGTATGCTAGCATGTTTATTTTATATATATACTGTAGTATATATAAATATATATATATCTTAAAGTCACCCTTTACAACTTATCTTTGTAATGTATTAAAAACTTCAAATCAGCAAACTGTTCGTGTTTTATAATTACGTTTCATGATTACTTGCAAATTAAATTATAAGCTGGCATTCCTTTGTGCTTTTATGAATATTTAGAGGTTCTTACGTGATCAAGGTGCTTCCATTCTTCTGCCCACTCTCTGTCTGTTAGTCTATGGTCTATGATTTCTTCTTGACGTGCTGCTGGCAACCCTAGACAAAGCAGATGTATAGTCTCATATAACACTAATTAACACCCTTTTGAAAAATGGATAACGTCTTTCAACAATAGCTTCAAAGAATGCTTTTTATTCATGATGGTGGTAATGGTGGGACATAATATAATTTTCTTGATGAAAAAAACAAAGGAATCTATAGGAAATTGTATTACTTTCCATGGATAAGTAAAAGCAGCAAAGGCCAGAAAAAGTATACAGCTCAAAAGAGACAATGGCAAGACAGAATGTCAGAATGTACTATATTCCTAGCTGTGCAACAATCGGTGCACACCATGCATTTGTATGTTCACATCCCCTTTGTCGTTGATAAATTTGATTTGAAGAGTAGGAGATAAGCTGCGCTAGTTTGGCTGTCAGGTCTTCTGTGGCGTTCCAAGTGTTTAATTACTACTTTCACAGCAGAAAGCAAATGATTGTTATTTCAAGAGCTTTTCTCCTACACCAAAATCAATATCAAAATGTGATTTATTGACTTTCATTTTTTTATATCATATTTTGTACTATAACAATGGCCAAAGCCTTATTTACTCAACATCCACAGAACTAAATGTGTTAAAGTAAAACTCTAGCCAAAGCAAAGAAGACAATCTCTTTTTCATTAGTCCTTATGGTCACTGACTGGCTTTGTAACCTTTCCTTTTCCAGTGTAGCCATTTCTTAGTTTTCCCCTTGCAACAAAACTCATTTACTTATTGAGAGTGAGAGTCCATTTTGAAGACTGCATTTGTTACTTTGTGGAGCCTCAGTCCCGAACTCTGAATGCTGGTCAAAGTGAACCTGTGCTGACATAAATACTTACAGAACAACATGTCATTGGATACCATGCACCATAAAAAGCTACAGCTTCCCATTAGTGTTACTAAATATGTCTGTAAACCTCCAGTGGAGCCCTGTAAAATGCCTATACCAATATAATGCTTATAGCAATGCCTTTTTGGATATTGGTAGCATTTATATAAGCACTTGCTACTAGGGGGTCATTGGCACTTTAGGGAAGAGGTGAAGGGCTATAGTGGTGCTCTTCAGATAATATTTAGTGAAGGTGTGCCATGGGGGTCATTGGCACTTTAGGGAAGAGGGGAAGGGCTCTAGTAGTGCTCTTCAGACATAATTAGTAAAGAGAGAACATGACACACATAGGTTACTACTTTCCAGCAACATTGTTGTCCTCTAAGTTGTGCTCTATGTGAGCACAGGTTTGTATTAAACACACCCTCAAGGCAATTCCAGTTCATGCAACATATAAATGTTGGAGCTGCATTTCAAAGACCGAGTAGACAGAATTTCATGTCAGTCACTTATGTTCTGTACATTCTTTCCAATATTAGCATACAGGCACTCTCCATCAACCTGATTTTAAACTTTAGCTGGTATACAGGGGATGGTGGGAGTTTAATATAATGAAGAATTAATTACACAAGCACATATTAAAATAACTAAAACATTAATATATTAATGGACTAAATAAAGGTCATGTACATTTTTCCATTTGTTCTCGTTTAATATTCTCCACAAAGCTGTATTACCACAGGAGAAATATGGAAAGACCTCTAGAGCTCTTACCAATAGGTCTGTTTCTGTCCCTGAGGTTGGGGTGTCTGTATGAGTCCCTGTAGTGGTGGGCAATTGCCATATCATCCAAACGGTAATGCTGAGGTGGTGGTGGGGTAGGGTGAGGCAGACCATTGGGTTGATAGGATAAGCCATTATTTGGACTGAACCGCTGGCCAGGGCTTATAGTGCACGGCCGCTTGCTTGGATGCTCTGAGTGCAAAGGCTCTCTGTCAAAGCCATTTTCTTTGGTTCTGAAAAAAAGAATGTGTATAACATACTGCAGTTGTCTTTTAAATGTATTTTAGTTCCCTTATGTGATGAAAAATACAGCAAAGATCATGTACATCAAGGGACAATTCTTGACACCCAAAGCTTTCTACAAGGCAGCTTGAGTCATCTCCAAGCCAAATACCCTCCCCAATGCTTATGAAAAAGAGTTGTCATATAGCAAAAACAATAAAACTCTTTTAATGTAGAAATGCAAGGAAGGTTGAGTCCAGCTTTGTCTCCATTTTGACAGTGTCCTCACGATTTTCAGATACTGAACGGAATTTGGCAGGGATGTGAAAGAGAGTGCAATCTCCAAGCTAGCCAACTCACTTTAAAGGATAACTGCACTTTCACATCAAAATAGTGCTTTCAAAAAATCCATGTTCTCCAAACAACTTTAAAAAATATCACCAATTAGATCTGACTTTTTTTTCCATGAGTTTTGGAAGCTGTCATCACTCTTCCCAACCGTGTAAACATAAGGACAGGTTCAACTTTTACTTACACTCACTTTACAATGTAAACAATGTAAACTGTGTGCTTATAGCAGAAATCAGAATTTATGGCTCCTGTCAAGACATTGAGGCTGATTTACAAAATTTGAGTTGAGTTGATAATGCTCAATTGTGTCAACATTTGAAAAAAAAAATCCTTGTTTATGGATTGCATCTGCACATGACTGGATATGTGAAGTGAATGTTTGCGCATTCTATTGTGTGAACATTTTCAACTCCTTTAGTAAATCAGCTTCATTGTGACTAATTTACCAATGGTCAGTTCTGAAAGAGAAAAACACTTTGCAAAGTGAATGATCACTTAGCTTAATAAATAAGGTAAAGTGATATTCACTTCAATCATCCAACCATAAGCAAAGAAAAAAATCCATTTTTTTTTTTTCATTTCCATGGCACAAGTTTGGGTATTCAAGGTGATGTAACTGCTGTTACGTGAACATCTATTTTTCAAAATTAATGTACATGCTTTTTTCATTTTGTAAATTCATCCAGGTATGTGGAGTAGATGCCTTTGTTGTCACTTTTTTTGCAGTTACAAGGACAATGCAGACAAGCTGAGTGTAAACAGTGCAGTGTTTACATGATGCAGCCATGATACCTAAGCTTACAAAGCACAGGGAAGGATGAGGAAAATTGCTTGACATAAGTATATATATATTTTGTAATATAAAATGTATATTCATACAAAATGAACAGTACAGAACAATCATTGGTCTTGCTGAGAATGGAGTCTAATGGAGCAATAAACATGACTTCCCTGCTACTGTGACATGTCGTGTATGAATTACTTAGTTGTGTTTTCTGCTCACGTGTCAAGTTTTTTTTCCCTTTTTTTTTACTCTTTCAGTGACTGATAGCTCCCAGTGTTATTATTGAAACAGATTGATCTTTTTAATGAGCCAGTTTAATAGACACACCAAAATCTCACCGTGGTTGCTCATCCGTGTCAGACCATATGCACCAAGAAAACATTCCGTAAAACATAAAGCTTCCCTGTCACACTTGCAAACGCCTTTTAAGCCTAAATCTAGACTTCAACATAACATCACAGGCAGTAGAATAGATGCAAAATAACATATTAGTGCTGACATTGAGCAGATTTAGAAAATAATATTTCATCTTCAATGGCATATATTTTTTCACACGTGCTGTTAAACCCTCTCTTTGAACAGATTTGAATACAGGAAAGGCTAATAAAGAATACTCAAGCTAGGTCTGAATTAGAAAAGGCATCTTAAAAGAGGTCTAATTACTATATTAAAGCATAATGGAAATAAAAATGAAGCTCTTTCTAATGAGCTTTTCACTCCTAGGATTGTGATAGTTGGGCATCCACTACAAGTACATATGCTGGGGATTTCCGATTGTTCCATTATTCCATTATGAATAATCAGAACCTTGAATGATTGTTCTCCCTGATAACACAAACAGTTATAGGACAGTGGGTGTCAGACAAAAGGTTGGTCGCAGCCGACTTAATAAAAGCAAAAAAGCTACTAATTTTGTACATGGCAGTCAGCTACAGTCATTTTCACGCAGGGAATGATGCATATACCATTGTCAAGAACAGATGTAGGTAGTGAACTGAAGACAGCAGGTTCCAGAACTTTGTATATTATAAGTAGAATTAAATGTGGACTGGGCTCCTTCATTACAAAAACTGGCATCTATAGTTCCATAAACAATTACTTGCGCCACTACCAGTCCATGAAATGACTTAAAGGATAAGTTCACCTTTGGGAACATGTTACATGTTCCACCCGTTTTTTTGTAACATATTCCCACAGCCACCGCCCCCTCCCTCTGACAGATAGCACAGGGAGAAGTCTCCTCGTACTATCTGTCATATTTGAAAACAGCATGACTATGCGGGGCTCAGCCCACACAGCCATATCATTCATTCAGGTACTTCCAGGAATGAATGAACTACAAGTCCCGGCAGCCTTAGCGGCCGTCGGCTTGTAGTTTTCAATGAACTACCACGGCGCTGTGGAGCGCCGTGATAGCTCATTGAAGCTTCCAATCTGCTTGCTCATACATCTTGCATGGCAAGCAGATATTCTGACAGGTCTGCAGGAGACCTGCATGGCATCAGCGATCTACTGATCACTGGTGCAATGCTTTCCAGGCTCTTGTAGACAAAAAAAATAAATGCACATTTTTATACCTGCAACAAAATGTACATTATTTTTGTCTAAAAGGTGAACTTATCCTCTAAGTGGTCCTGTTCTATCAACGACCATTTTGGTTTTAAAATGTGAAGTGTGACTTAATTTTTTAATGATGAACCAATAAAAGTATATATATTTTCTATTACTGTTGTTCGATGTGATATTACAGATTAACCTCCCAGAGGCTGACACATACAAAGTCCCATTTTTCCCTGGAGATAGTACAGGACCACCTGGTTTGACCGGATGCAACTGTACACTCCGGTTTTCTGTGTAAGAATAAATTGGTCACTCCCTCACTTAGAGTTTAATTCTGCCTTAATTTGAATAACAGTTTCAGAAAACGATTAGGTGGAGCTTGATGTGCCTTAAATTTGGCCAATTTCAGAAAACTCTAAAGCTCTGTCCGATAACAATGATGTAAAGTACCCATCTTCAGCTCTCGTCATAGCTCGGTCTCCTATGACGGACAAAGACCAGCCTTGTCACTTTTGATGACCGCTTTCCCTAAGCATAGTATTGCAGGAAGGTGACAAAGGCAGATACTGCACTTGGTTCTTCCAGTGAAGGTCTTTTATGTATTTGGAAATGTCATGTTTAAACCCTACACTAGTTCTGTGTGTCATTTGCTTGTAACTATGGATATGCTTTTAGATAAGCCAGTGGAAGATGAGGCCATACACATCAACTGATGGTCTAAAGGACAAAGTATGACCTCTCCACCAAGATTGCACTTATTAAAAGAAAAAAAAATGAAAATTTATAAATGCCCTCAGATACCCTGACCATGCAAGTTTATAAAAATAAAAGAGTGAATGTCCATACAGTATGTTGTTGACTTTCTTGGGTGTAGACAATAGCAACTATCCAAGTAACCCCATCAAGTGAATTGATTTAAACAAAAAACTTTGATTGATAAGGAACCCACAACAGCTGACCAGCCAAGTGGAGTCAGAAGAAGTGCCATAGGTATAAGCCACAACCAAAACTGACCAGATAGGGCAACAATAATTTTATGTCTATTGACAGATTTCAGTGTGACAAATTTAACTGTCAATCAGCACTTCATATCATTATTGTGACATCAAATCCCTCCACAAACTAAAATTCTTAAGGGAGTTAGTGGCACAAACGATGCAGATGTGTAGAGAGGTGGCATTTAAATTGCATTTGAGGTATCTTCAGAAATAGCCACAAATAAAACTACTTTCAATTTCCATACTGAATTAGAAGAAACATGGAATAGAAAATCTGACAGGAAAAGGCAACAAAAATGTTTTCTTTTTCTTTCAGACACTTTCATCATGATATTCTATATGAACTGTGGCTTAAATTAAAATTAACATATTTTAAATAAATGTTATCAAACAAAGATCTAAAAATCCACAAAAGAAGCAATTACTGGACCAGAGAACATTATGTACTATTATTTTTTTTCCTGTGGACAATTCTTCACAACACGGCGCTAAAGAAATTTGCATGGGATGAGTTGTAGAAAAATAGCTTCTGGCTAAAATGTTTGACATCTCTAATTTCACGCTTGAAATGACTGAGTTTGTGCTGACAACCCCAACAAAGAAGAATGCAACAAATAGACTTGGAGAATAATGCCAGTTCCATAAAAATGTAATTTTTGAGGTTTTTTTTTTTTTAAACTAATAAAGGTATTCACAAAAAAAGGTCTTTTCGGTGCCCTTGACATAAATAGGTTTTGTTTATGTACGAGAGAGGTGCGAAATTCAGCAATCCATAGCCACTGGTTATCACCAAGCGTTTTGTTCCTTGTATATTTTAAAGCAAAAAAATCTTCCTACCAAAAGCAGAATCTTCCTACCTGACAAATGTCCAGTGTGCTCTATGATTTTTTTCACTGGCTCCTACATCCGTATTGGGCTGTGAATTGACATAGTGGTTGTTGAATGGAACTTGGGTGCACAACAAGATACAAAGGCATCTGACACACCTGGGATTGTCAGACACTGAAATTCTGCTAGAGGATCTAGCTTTTGATGGAGCAATGTTAGTACTTAGAGTCTATTAAGAGTCTTTTTTGCAAGCAACTTTTTAAAAGGATTTTTAAGTGACAGAGTTGATTTAAGGGCATAAAAGATAAAATCTGATGGCGCTATAGAATTATGTTAATAAAATGAGCCTGCTAAGGCTTTACTATATACCACTGTTATTCTCTTACATGATCTGCTATTTAGTAATTCCAGCAAAGGACATTTAATGCAACCCAGTATAGGTACCCACAGAATTAGATAACAGTCTCCCAAATTAATGATTTTTGGTGGGATCAGGCAATAGTTCAGTGTCTATTGTGCAGTTGTAGAAACTGTTGGTATCAGCTTGTTAAGGAGAAGAGCGATCTCACAGGCTGCAAAACCTTGATCACAATGTTTTGTCCCAGATGAGTCAGAGCTGGAGGTGTATGCAGGACTTGTAACTTTAATTTTCTGGATGGACATGGACAAGAATGGTCTTCTTTGTTCATGCTAGGGAATTAGTGGCTGGCAAAGATGCCTACGCGTGGTCATATCATGCCTGCATATAGGGGTCTTCTAGAGATGAATGGTAGTTTTACTCTGAAGTTGTACTGGGGTGTCATTTGTACTGGAGCTGACAACTGGCGATGGACTTTATAGTCAAATCTAGGTAAGTTCATATTTTACATCTCAGTGATTACAGATTTTTACTAAAGTTCTATAATCCTCTGCTTTCAATAAACTTTATTTCAGGGTACTCACAAAGGCATACTTTGGGGCTCATAGTAACCTCCTCAATGATATAATCATTAACAGAGAGTACAATTCCTGCCTGGGGCACCCCTGTATTGTATAGGAACAACCAGTTTATTTAGGCATTGAAATCATAATTATTATTGTGACAACTTAATAAACAAATGATTCCCATATGCTGCTGAAGTGCCCCAGGATTTTTGCACTTGTGCATGGTAGCTGAGCCCAAACTGGTAGCCCTCTGGGCTCCTAATGAGCACCTGCACTAAAGCTGCATTAAGTAATACATTACTGCCAGTGACAGACTTAGATATACTTTTGGATGTCTAAACAGAATGGTATATCACTTGTGATGGATTTTTGTTTTTTAAATATCCACAAAATGCCTTTCCAATCCACATCCTGTTATACATATACAGAGTACTTTTGACAGACCATTTAGCTGCATTCCATGATAATAAAACATATCAAGTCTACAAACATATGTTAGTAGGCACCAGACTAAAACCACATATATGTTATACTGGAACTATGAAAGAAACATGAAAGCGACTAGACCTTGTAATTTAAACGTCTTTCTTCTTTCTAACCATGTTTTATGTATTATTTTATTCTTAGAACATATTTCTTGGAATGTCTTCTGGAAGCATTTGTGGGGCCAGGGCGAGTGGAGCAGCCAGATAAGGCTTATTTTATGAGCATATTAGAAATAAAAATTGTATTTAGTTTGCAGCATGATATTGCAACGTGAAAGATGATTTGTTGAACTGAACTTATCTTGTGCTGCTAGACTTTAGTACAATTTAAATGAGCTGTAATATAAGCGATAACGTTCTTTTGTTTTTAAAAGGTTTTTCAGTTTTATACATCAAAGTTTCTTAAAAGTTTCTTAAACTTTTAACAACTTTTTGAGCAATCCACTGCATTCTCTTTTTTTAATCTTAGAGATATGCTGTTTAAAATATATGGGAGACCGAAGGATTGCCAACCATCCAGAGACAAGATAGTGCATACATAGCTGGTAAAAAGTAGGGACAATTTAAGGTTGTCTATAATGTCCATGAAAACAAAAATCTGTAAAAATATATTCTTCATATAGGTAATTATCAACCAGATAATGTTTTATTACAAGTTGTACAAAGGAAATGTATTTACGGTTTATTTTTAATTGGGACACAAAACGTATCAATCAATAAAAGGGGGCACTTGTTGGTTACATACATTTTCATCCACCTAAATCTCCTTCCAATATCTGGATCTTGCAATTTGTTGCTTAGTAGAGTTTTGTTGTTTTAGTCTGGTTGTACCGGAAAAACAGCTTCCTGCCACAGATTCTCAACAGGATTGAGGTCTGGACTTTTACTGGGTCATTCTAACATTTGGTTTTAAACAACAGTGTAATTTTGGTTCAGGGTCATTGTCCAGCTGGAATTAAACCTCCATCCAGTCTCGGATTTCTTTTAATGTGAAACAAGTGACCCCCAAAACTGCTGTGCATTTGACTCCATCCATCTTGACCTTAATCTTCACCATTCTCCCAATCCATGCTGATGAGAAGCATCCCACAACACGTTTCTCAGGGTGATGAGCAGGGATGTATTTTTGCAACACACAAGAAGATTCAGTCTCATCTTATCAGATCAGAGAATCCCTTTCAAAATTCCAATTTTTTTGTCTTCCACCTGCCTTTTGGGAAGCTTGTGCTATAGTCCTACCAATTTTGAATAATGGATTTACAGGTGCTCCAAGTGATATTTAATAGTTTAGATATTTAATGATATCCCCAACCCTTAATGACGCTGTTTGTTCTTCCATAAACCCTGAGTGGAGTTTTACACAAACAGTTGTATGTATTTTAAGGTCAAGCAATGCTTTCATTACAAATAGGTAAATGTCATCCAATATAAGACTTCTGAAGGCACCTGAGTTTTTTTTGTAAAGTGTAAGAGCAAGCGGTAATAATAATTTACATTTTAAAATATTTTTGGAAAAAACTGACGTTATAGGTCAGAGGCATAAAACCCAATGAAACCCATCCTAATTCCAGGCTGCAGCCCTATAAAATGTACAGACATCAAAGGGAGCTAATAATTATGCAAAGTACTGCGTGCTACGCAGATCTCTACACTGTGATGCCATCCTAAGCAGAAATTGTATCTGCCATACTTAATAGTAGCATGGTAATAATACACAATATAATTACTAACGTGCTTCTAATAGAAGGACTTCTTACAAAAATGAGCCCTTGTATCTTTCTAGGCAGTTTAGTATTGTTATAATGATGTATCCATAAGTTTTTTTTCGGTTGTCCTTGACTTTTGTCCAATTGTTCATAAAAATATAATTTGCAGCTGGCAGCCCTGTGAGGAAATTGTCTGATTTACAAGATGACTTCAAGAACAGGGATCATATGCAAAATACAGTACCCCCAGAGAAACCTGTCAAGACTGCGCTATACTGTCGTCCCATTTAAAAGTTTAAGCGCAAGGAAGTAATGACGTATAGATACATCCTTTGGCATCTTAAAGTTCTTGTGTGCTCCATCACACCATGGAATTCCAGGTTTTGCTCTTACCTACCACTTCTGCCGTGTGAACACTAATGAAAAATAGATAAAAGTCCAATATCGAGAGTGATACTTTATCAAAATGGCCATGCAGGATGGATTGAACTCAGGTCACCAGGTCTCAGCAATGGAGCCAAAAATCTATAAAATGCCAGCTGGTGATTCATACCATTAGCATCTATCAAATACTAAAATATCACTTTTGACCGTTTTGACTCACATTTAAATAGTTGTCTTATGACTATGACTTTGCACATTGCTCTTTATACTACCTTCCCAGTTTTGAGAACTAAGCTGAGTCTCATGCAGAACTAGCTATATCGCTAAAGTAATAAGTAATTTCCTCATTAGAATAACTCCAAAGTATAATGTAAACCTGTACAGATACTCATGGTAGCTCTTTGCAAAGTATCAGAAGACTGAAATCTAGATCCTGGGTCTTTACCTATCAGGAGTTCTCCTCTTCCCATTTTCATTCACATCAAGAAGCAGCTCTGATGAGTCAACAGGCGAGGTGGTGCTGGCATCCAGGAGCAGCTGCTCATGCTGAGCCAGGTATTGGGCTGGGTTTTGCTTGGCAAGTCTTGCGCAGTGCAGAAGTTCTCGCTGCAGCAGAGGCAGATTGGCCTATGAAATATACAGAAAACACAGAGGTAATAGCTTGTTACAGATTCTGAACTCTGAAAAGCATGTCATTTTATTCTCAAATCCCTGTAACAGTTTGACAGAATCTGTAATCATTCTTCCTTGTGTTCTTTACTCCATGCAAAGCTGCCATCACCAGGGTAAAATAGCAGAGGAGCAGTCTGCAGTATCAATATTAAGGTAATTTAACGTGGTAATAGTTTGTCTATTGAAGGTTGTTTAGTAGCAACAACTAGTATTTTTACCAATGCATTACATTAACAAAATTATTTGTTTAATGACTGTATTACAGTATGATAGTAGTAGTTATGCACACTTCCCAAAAATCAAAAGTGCTATATTAAAAATCAAATTGATGATTTATTGATCATGTATTCATCAAAGAACACCTCACCATAGGAGGTCCTGCTTTTCCTTATTTTTTTCTGAGGGGGGAGGGGAGTAGGTACCTAGTTTTGGCAGATACCAGCTACCCTGACAAGTGATCCATGCGGAAGTTTGCCCCCCCCCCCCCCCCCCAACCTTCTGAAACACATACCTATGAAGCTGTGGGATTATTCAGAAGGCATGGCGTGGCTCCCACATGCACAGTGGGAAGCTGGCTGTAAAGCTGCAAGGAGTCACAGCTGGCTTCCAACAGTTAACATGGCAGCACCAAGGACTCTAGGACCAGTGGAGAACTGGACTGGGTAGGGATGGTGCTGGATCCCTGGACAGGTGAGTGTCTGCTTATTAAAAGTCAGTAGCTACACTTTTTGTAGCTGCTGACGTAATTTATTGGAACCTGGTTGAAGCTCCACTTTAAAGTGTATTTAAACCCAAAAATTTTATATTTTATATACTGCATCCCACCAGTCCTTAGACATGCTTTTGTTTTATTTTTTTTTTCAGGCCCTGGACCCCATGGTAGACAGAAGGTTGAAGTCAGAGTCACTTCTAAGGGAAGCTCTCTGTCAACTGGGGTATTTCAAAGGGTTCCCAAAGCAGTCTATAGAACATTGGAAGGATGAGAGAACCACAAAGCTTGAGTTGGAGCTGATTCACACATGTGTGGTGCGGATTGAAGCTCAGGTTTCACAGCTAATTGATACAGTAGTTGTTCAGGTTCAGGTTCAGGACAGGATTAGGCCAGGCTTTTATCCTGTTCACACATGCGCGGTTTAGAAACGGTTTCCATAAAAGTAAATAGCATGTAATCCACACCTGAGCCTGAAGGCACTGCTAAGAAATCATACATGACTCTTTTTCAAACCACACTGAATCTGCACCACCAGTGCACCGGACACATGTGAACAAGCACCATAGGAAGCAATGATATTTCACATGTCAAGTAGATTGGATGCAGTTCACACCGCATCTAATCTGCATATATGTGAACTGGCACTTAGCTCACTAAGAATTTGATTTCACAACATGAATTTGAAAAGCCAATGTCTGTGGGGGCTCAAGATGAAGAGAGCGTTTGGAGCTACTGAAAACATTTTGGATTATGGTTGTGCTGTGAAAAAAAATTCTAACTGGACTTGTTCAAGCGTTATGGTGCTCTCAGCCTTCTAATGTTCTTTATCTAGTCTGTGGATGTCAGTGACTGAGTTTTGGTGTGCTATAAGCAACCGTCCCGTTAAAGCATATTAAGAGTTTTGTTGAATCCCCCCACCCGAACCAAATACACTTAGCAGAATTTAGTGAATGTTCCCCGATATATAAAAGGGGGTTTATAGACAGAACTGTACAGCTGGTACTTGGTTAACGGAGCACAGGTTAAGCTGCATACGAAGCTTGTTCAGGCATAGGTTTAATGTGTTGTGTAGGTGGCAGATCTGTTTTAAAAGTTATTTTATGTTTCCATGACAGAGCCCTAGTACTTCTTTCCCATGAACAGTGAAGCTGACAAGTAAAGATGTTATCCTTTGCAAATCTGATAATATTTCACAGACATCAGAAAGACAGCAGTATTATACTAAGAAAATACATTTATTTCTGCAGTCTCATAGAGAAAAATTCCAGAATGGTAATTAGGAAAAATGACTAACATGCTGCCCATGTTGTGTACAGATGACATATGACAAAGGATAACTGGATGTGAGCCAGGACCAACTGCTATTCACTGACTGCACAGCAGCACATTCTTTTTGCACCCGAAATATAATATTTATAAAAATCATAGGACAAAAAAATCCTACTGTAAAAAATATAGGACATTTGGTAATATCCGTATATTTCACAATACAAGATGCAGGATGGCAGAACATTCATGCACTGGAGGAAAAGAATGGAGTATGAACTGCAATTTTAGCTAGATGAGGGCCAATGATTTGGCCTACTGAAGACCTAAGCACCATTTATAGCCATTAAAAAAAAGGTCTACTATGTATAACTGCGGCCAAAACTTTTTCCTAATTTAGAAACAGTTTGGAAGAATGAAAACTGTCATGTTTGTATTACAGTCTATGTTCTCTCTGGGAGATACACTTTCTCTATTTGTTCTGGTAACATCATCCAATGGGGGTACTGGTTCTGGTGACAACTGCCTAAGAGGGGATCTGTATGTGTCGCATTGGACAGATCTGACCACACTATTCATGCTGAGACACCATGAGTGAAAGTTAGGGGTAAAACTATTTTTCAGTTGTCCCTGAGAAAAAAAATAAAAGTTGTTTATTTCAATAGGGACAGGGTTCTTTCATTTTGGGGAGATGTGATGACGATAGCAACAAAAACCTGAGGTCTAACCCTTCCGTTCCCCTGTCAGGATACAATAACTCAGAGCTCAGTGGGAGAGATCTCTGCATCAACATGGATTTGTGTTGATGTGGGGATCTGTAAGTTTGTTTTTTTTTTTGTTCAACCTTCTGGTTGAACGAAAAAAAAAAGCTCAACATGCATACTTTGCTTTATTCTTTAATTTTTCTTATATACCTGCCTGAGGTAAGTGAAGCCAGAAAAGCACAGGTATTTCTCTCGACAGGTCCACTTCAAAGTGACTCAATCACCAAAAGGCAATTGTTAGGCCTCTTCCACACGGGCGGTTGTTCTGCCTCTTGTAAAGGCAGGTTTCTTTATTTTGAAATTCAAACACTCCTAGCACAGAGATCATTTGCGTTTGTACATTGCGTTTATCTGCATTTACATGTGGCTGCATTCAGCTAAGGTTGGAAATTCTTGCCTTTTGTAATACAACTGTTTACTTATCTTTTCTTTGTTCTGCGATTAACTGCGTTTATGTACAGATAGCTGCGGTACATCGCTCCTGGACTCAGCCAACTTTATTTTTCCTAAACGCATAAAACCGTATGTTATGAAAACGTTGCTAAACGCAGTGTGTGAATGGAGCCATAGGGATGCATCATCTGCATTTAGCTGCGATAGGTAAGTTCCTCTAAAAGCTGAAATCTAACAGTCCATGTGAAAGGGGCCTTAAAGTGGTTATAAACCTCAGACATGAAATATGAACAAAGCATATACCTCTATAGTGTACACTTGTCTCAATTAAGAGCACTAAGTGTCATTTCTATCTGCTGCTTTATTCCTTTGCTATCAAGATGAATCACTTCTGACACGTTTTCCTGGCACAAAGAGAAAAAAGGTGACAGAGGAAGAAAAAAAAAGGTGAGAAGGGAGGGACCTCAAGTTGATTGACAGCCTTTCTTCTGTTCCTGTGTGCTGTGTGAAGAGGGGTGTGTCCCTTCTCTCCAATCAGCTCTCCTCACTTAGCTCTGCAGAGTGTAACTTTAGTTCTCTGCCCCTTGCTTTCTGACAGCTCAGACAAGCTTTATAAATTCTGCACTTTAAATGGCTGTAGAGGAGATGGCTACAGGTAAATAGGTACAATGTATGCAGATGGATTTGTATCATCTGAAGAAAAGCCAGTCATTTCACTGGAATTGTTTACAACCACTTTAAAGTGATAGTAAGGACACTTTGTTAGTTTTTACCTACAGACAAAAAGTTTAAAAAAGCTTACCTGTAGGTAAAATGAATATCTCCTAAATGTGCACCGTTAAGGATATATTCGTTTAGTTTTTTTTTTAGAGCCGGTGCATGTGCTCTGAAGGAACGGCATACACGTACCGTTCCTTCAGAGTATTGTGCCATGTCCCGAGACTCCTGTGCACATGTGTGGGAGTGACGTCATCGTGACTCAGCCAGTCAGATGGCCAGAGAACATGAACCTGGAAGGAAGACCAGGTGAAGATGAAAGCCTCTACAGCAGTGATAGCGCCCCATTGGAAGGATTCGTTTTCAGGCAAGTTTTACATAACATGCTAGTATGCGATGAATACTATCACAGTATGCCTTTACCTTGCAGGGGATTTTTTTTTTTTTTTTGGGATGCAGTTTACCAACACTTTACCTAAGCACAGTCTGTAAAACAGTAGCATCTATGTTTTCCAACTCCGGCGTTTTGCTGTTCCCAGGCCACTGCAAATACTCTACACTTGGGGGTGTGTGAATACCTTCTTCTCCAATTACATGCTGTGGTTTCTCCAGGAGGTCAATATGTCCTGTAGTGACATACAAGTGGAGGAAAAAATACAGAGTGTGGCGGGAGGAGGCATTATCCAGATACACAAAAATATGGAATACCAGTGGCTACCGAGGAGCAGCAAAGCACCGGAGATTGAAGACAAGGACTTCTGGTAAGGGTCACATTAACACTGACCCAATTAACAAAAAATATTTTAAAAACTATTTTTCAGGCTAAATGCGGTTATTGACAAATGTAAAAGTAAGTATGACATGGTTAAAGCGTTCCTTGCCTTTTTTTTTTAATTCAGCAATTCTATAAACATCTTCTTTCAATTTAAAAAAAATGGTAATACAAAGCAATTTTGTTTGTTCTAGTTCTGGTGCCAGATTAGGTAATTAGGATGGTGTCTAATATCCTTCCAGTAAATGTTTCTCCATAAACGTAGAATGGAATCGCGGGTCTGCGGGTTGCATTAGCTTAATGAAAACAAGATTTTAATGCATATTGTTAC